CAAAAAAAGAATGGAAAAAAAAGGGGCCGAGAGAAGAACGAAGAGTCGAAGCTGATGCGGAGGGACGGCAAGAGGGAGCGAGATGGAACGAGACGTGACCGTGGGGATGTAACGGGTGTGTATGGAACGCCGGCACGACGACGACGATCGGCCGCCCGCCTTGTTCACGAATTTTTCGCCGGCCGGGATGAGTTTCGGGAAGCCGGCAGCCGAGGTGGAAATTGCTTCCAGAGAAATTGGATTTCACGATAATGGCGCGAATCGGTTCCAGAGATTTCCAGGAAACCAAAATGCCGGGGAAGGAGTGGGAACCCGTACCCCGCTTCGATTCGTCCCGTATTGGCGGCAGCTGTAAATTTCACGATACACGCGAGACTGACTCGTACGTGAACGCCATTCCCGTTTTAACTTCAGCGAGATGTCAACTCTCCAGTAATGAAATTCAATTCCAAACTTCAATATCGATGCATAATCTTATACGATAATCACATGGTGGCCACTCGATAATTCTCCGATTTCGGGGCTGTTCGAAATTTTTCTTACAAGAGGGAATTTACAAGAAGAGGGAATGTACAAGGGGCAATTCTTCAAATTTTAATATTGATGTGTAATCTTAAATGATAATCATATGCTGACCACTCGCTAATTCTCCGACTTCGGGGCTGTTGGACATTTTTCTTATGACAGGAAATTATCGAATGTGCAAGAGCTTATCTTTATCCAGCGAATTAGTCACACTGTGGCAGTGAATTATCAAGTATTTTTGTACCTATCACTATGCATACTTTACTGTATATTCCATTTCTGATTCAGGTAAAGCCCATGCGGTTTCGCGTTCTCTCGGTAAGTAGATTTGTGCCATATCTTCGTCACTACTAATTGGCTGGTCCTTCAAAGCACAGTCAATGCTAGTTACGATCGCAGACAGAATTAGAGTGATTCGCGGTTACGGATTTAAGCTCTCTACCAAAGTTTCGATCCACATTCTTAAGAATCGTCCTCATTGAAAAGCCCGTACAGAATTCGCGTCAATGAACAGATGTGCGTGCCTCGTAAATAGCCTCGGAAATGCGGATCTAGTTCAGAATAAGAGATGTACACGATTCGCATGCGTTTTCGAGCCGTGGTATATTATTAGTCGAAGCATGTACTAATTAGGTTTGTATGAAAGTAAATAGGCGGTGTGGGCAGAGCATCTCTTGTTTCTCTACCGTCTCGCGAAACTTCTGAGGCATACAATATGTGGACGAACTTAATGTTTTAGCGACCTGTGTCACGTATCTTAACTTTCTACGTCATTATTCTTCGCCAATGGCGGCTCGGTGGGACTGCATAAGTACCGTATACATTTATTCTACGTGTATAGTGTATTACGACCAAGAAAATCAGATTAATAGCAATAATACAACTTCTTAACATTCTCTTTTTGGTGGGTAGGTTATGTTGTTTATATTTTGGAATGTGAAGTTTAGGGATTTGAGGACTTTGGGATGTGGGGGTTTGGTGATACGAGGATTTGGTGATGTGGGGATTTGGTGATGTGGAGATTTTGGGATTTGAGAATCTTCAAATGTAGGGGCATAGACATGTGTGCATATGTGGACCCCGATATTTAGATATGAGCTTTTGGAACCTAGGTGTCTAGGTACCTGAGGATCTTGGAATGTATGAGATTTGAGAAATGGAGTATTTCTCTGGATATTCAGAAATTGTAAAACTAGAAATTTTGCCTTGTGTCTTGACATATGTGTACCGTCAACCATGTACGCATATGTGGACCCAACTTACTACCTTTGGATCTCCACATCGTATCCCCTGAAATTCTACGAGAAAGACGAAGAATTATTCGTCTTACACGAAGATCGAGGTTCAAACCCAAAAGCCTGTTTCGAAAAGGCGCTTCATAGGAAGGATATCGGTCAGAGTAAAATGCGCGGAAGCTCCGTCCGCTTTCGTGGGCGCTTCCGATCGAGGGCAAGGCGCTCTCGGCTCCGACAAAGTATTCCTCGCGCAGAGCCGCGGGCGCAGTCACCGAAGTTGCCTTAATCTCGATCCAGCTCGCCCCCGTCACTGGGAACGACAGACTTTGAGGGTGACTTTGAGTTCGGAGAGGGGGCGCGCGGGAAGGACAGGCATAATCCGGGCAAAGAAAGAACCCGAAGCTCGGGACAAGTGGGAGCGAAAGAAAGAGGCGGCGGAGAGACCGGGGGAATACCTGAGCACAAAGGCACGCTCGAAATGGCAAAATACAGCGTCCGAGGCGGACCCGCATCCCGCGACAAACCGCCGTC